TGACACAACCTTACTTGCTGAAACGGAAGAGAACCTGAAGTGCTCACTGCAGAAGGTCAAAAACTGTAATCTTCAATATGTATTGAAGCTCCATATTAGGAAGACAAAGATTCTCACCATTAGGCCAAATGGCAGAACCATAATACATGGAGAAGTGATTAAGGTTGATAAGAATTATAGCTTGCTTGGTTCCATGATCAAACCCTTGGCACCAGCAGTCAGGAAATCAAAAGAAGAATTGCATTGTGGAAATCTGCTGTCAGGGACCTCTTCAGAGCGCTGAAGAGCAACAATGTCAGTCTAGAGACCAGGTTGCACTTAAACAAAGCCATGATCATTGGAATTACTTGCTGTGCATCTGAGAGCTAGACAGTGACTAAGGATGAGAGAAGATGAACTGATGCCTTCAAATTGTAACGCTAGGCAAGAGTCTTGAACATGTCATGGACTGCCAAGTAAACAAATAATTCTCTCTTAGAGAGGGTGAAACTAAGTTTCTCCTTGGAGGCTAGGATTTTGAAGCTTGGGTGAAACCAACTTTCTCCTTGGAGGCTAGGATTTTGAAGTTCCATCTCACATACTTTGGGCACATGGCCTTGGAGAAGGACATCATGGTTGGAAGGGTGGAGGGACAGTGGAGGAAAGGAAGACCCTGAATGAGATAGATTGATGTAATAACTAGGGTAATGGGAGTTGGTGTATTGTAATTAGTGAAACTGGTCGGGACAGCACAGGTTTCAGAGCTGCTGTGCATAGGGTTGCTATGGGTTGCAGGCGACTCAATGGGACATAACAACAACAATAGTGAGTCAGTTCATCTTATAGATAATCATTCTCTCTTTCTCTTACTGTCCACCTTTCCAAGAATAATGACTCTTTTCAAGGATTTGACCCTTCAATAATATGTCAAAAGTATATAAGACAAAGTTTTATCCTCCTTGCTTCCAAGGAGCTCCCTGACTGGACTTCTTCCAGACAGTTTTATTTGTTCTTTTGGCAGTCCATGCTCAATACTCCCATACCACCACTCAAAACCATCAATTCTTCCTTGTTCATTGCTCAGCTTTCACAAGTACAGGAAGCAATTAAAAATATTATAGGTTGGGTCAATTTGCCATAGTTTTTAAGTTGTCAACCATGTTCCTCAGCACTTTAAAGAATCTCTTATTAATATATTTACACAATGCAATTATTTCTTTTGATGTCCTGACTGCTAATTCTATGGGTATTAATTATAGAGCCATGTAAAATTAAATCATTGACAACTTCAATTTTTTTTATCATGATGTTGCCTATTGATCCAGTTGTGAAGATTTTTGTTGTTACCCTTATTTTGTACACGTTTTTCTGAGGGTTTTGTTTGTTTGCTTGCTTGCTCTTTGTTGAGCAAGGAGGATAAATATGGAAATAGAAAAATGAATATAGTTTCTCAAGCAAACTACATAGGCTAGATATCCCGGAATTATGGCTTCATAAACTTTGTCCATTCTCTGCAATGTTGTAGAAGAACTTGACCTCCCATCCTTATATGATGATATTTTAATCAACTGGAGGGTAAGAAACGTGCCTGTTTTTCTTTTTCTTTTTTGTCCCTCACTTATTCTATGGATCTCTAGAGGCATTTGGTAATTGTTCAATAGATGTTTGTTTCAGTGACTGAATGGATAAGTGTACAGATGCTTGAATGACAGAGTAAGTTTTATAGGATTAGAGGTGTATACAACTAAATATAAATTCTTACTGTTCCTGAAAGGCACCAGAGGTGGGGAGGAACCTTAACTAAAACACAAAGTAAATAAAACCCATCTATAGTATACCAGCTATAGATATTGATGCTCTTTATCAAGAAAACAAAGATTTTCACTACTGGGCCAATTGGCTGCATCATGATAGATGGAGAAGAGATTGAGGTTGTTAACAATTACAGCTTGCTCAGCTTCACAATCAACACTCTTGTCACCAGCACTCAGGAAATGAAAAGACTAATTACACTAGGAAAATCTATCACAGACCTTTCTGGAGTAGAGTGTCAGTTTAGGTACTAAGGTGTACCAGGCAATGGTCTTTGCAATTACTTGCTATCCAACAGAAAGCAGGACAAAGGATGATAGGAGAAGAATTTATGCTTCTGAGTTGTGGTGCTGGAGAGGAGTCTTGAACATACCATGGACTGCCACGAAAACAAGAAGTCTGTCTTGGAGAAGGTGAAATCAAGTTTCTCCTTGGAGGCTAGGATTTTGAAGTTCTGACTCACATACTTTGGGCCCATGGCCAGGAGGGACTAGTCTTGCAGAAGGACATCATGCCCCAAAGTATGGAAGGACAGAGCAGGAGAGAAAGACCCTGGATGAGTCAGATTGATACAGTAATGGGGGTAGATGTGTAGGAGCCAGTGAGACAGGCTCAGAATTGGGCAGTCTTCAGAGCTGTTGTAAACAGAATTTCTATGAGTCGCAGCTCATGCACCAAGTGGCCTAGCTCTGCCAACCTCTCCCTGCAGGAGAAAGATAGGAAATTTCTTCTGGATGCAACGGAAAAGCTCCTGGAAGATCAACTATGAGTTGATTCTGACTTGATAGCATATTACAACAATGAAAATGTGTATCACTTTACCAAATAATTCTACCATCTTGAACATTTGGTAGACTTCCAGAAGGAAAAAGTGTGTTAATTAATTCTCTAGCCTATTCAGCATCTAATATAAAAAAAGTTATGCAATTTCTTAGCTTTTAAAAAGGTTAGACTAGTTTTCATTTTTTTAAATTTAATTATTTATAAAAACAATGAATCATTTAGATCACTAATAATTGTTAGTGCATCACAATCCTACTGCGTATCATTTGTACTGTTTTATTACTAAGATTAAAAACGGAACCCAAACTACTTCAAATAAAAAAGTACTAATTTATCTTCAAAAATATCCAGAGCTATTAAAAAAATCTTCAAAAATAGCAAAATTAGATTCAGCCACTACTGGATTTAGTGCTAACAACATCCAGTTGTCAAAGTTCAAGCTTCTAGGTCTGCCTCCCCGAGTATTAGATTCATTCTCTATAGCCTTTAACGTTCTCATCTTGACTTTGCAAGAATGAATATAGTACAAGACTCTACTTCTCTACTTTCTTGACCCAAGAAATGCTTTGCTAGCGAATGGAAACCAACCCATTGCCTACACTTGGGAGGAGATTGTCCATCTTCTTCAGCTGAGGTACGAACCTCCAGCAGAGCGCTAGCTACCTTTGCATAAGCACCACAACACCCTATAGACTGTATAGCTCCCTCCTTCCTTAGAGTTTTGGGGAGTATCTTGGGGGGTGGGATAGAGTGGGGTGTGATAGACTGTGTTTATTAGTCTCTGGCTAGATTTGGGGTACATTATTTCCTGTAAACCAATTTCAGGTATTAATTAGATTAACATAATGATTGTTTGTGTCACTCCTGAGCTTGAACGGTGGTTGCCATCGGGTGGGTTGGCAATTTGAGTACTGTGTACACACACACACACACACACACACACACTCTCACACACAGTTAGTACTGGGGGAATAAAACCACACATATTTACAGTAATTTATCATTATAGACCCCCTCCCCCAACATACACTTAATAAAACTTAACAAGTGTGCTGGTGGTGCTATGTGCTTTTGGGTCAGAACAGACCCATAGCTGACCCTCCTGTGGATTTTCAGAGGCATTTAAACGCACAGGGCACAGGAAGGGATGGCTCATCTTTCTCATTTGGAGCAGCTAGTGGATTCAAAAGGAGATTTCTAAAAGATTATTCCATTGAAGCGTCTACTTAAAACTATTTGGGACAACATTATAATCTCACACCTTAGACACAAAATGCTCTTGCAATTGCTGGTGCTCAAGAGAGCTGGAACTCAAGGGCTTTCAGAAAGGTGGCCAACCAAAAAAGCACCTTCCAGCCTCCCTGCTGCTCTCTGGTCAAGTGCGCGGGTGCGGGGACTGCAGAGGCCACACCGTCCTGCACCGGTGTGTGCCCTCCTACCCTCCGAAGACGCTACCAGAGCTTGGACCCCTGAGCTTCCCTCCTGGCGCGACCATGGGACGTTTTTGGAGGCTGCCACAGATCCCACCCAGAGTGACCATCGGGAAGGGCTGGTGGGGAGGAACACAGAGTCTCCTTGCCAGGCCCAGGTAGCGGTTCAGTGAGCTCAGCCGGGGCTGAGGTCGCCAGATGGAGGCGCCTCGCATCTGGGCTCCCGCCCCCGGGCCTCCCTTGGGCGGGTGCACGCGGCCTGGGAAAGGGGAGGCGGCAGCACCCGCCCGAGGGAGGAGGTGTGAGAGCCTCGGCGGTGCAGCCGGGCGGGTCCGGCCCGCGGTTCGCAGCGGAGTGAGCCCTGGAGTC